AGCCGGACCGCACCCGCCCAGCAGCAGGGCAGGGCGGTGGCCCAGGGCTCCCCCAGCGGCGCTCCATGAAGGCATCGGTTCCGCTTCGCTGCGGCAGCGGCACCAGAGAAACCTCACAGGGTGTAAAAGCAGATTTTAAATGCTTTCTTACAGAGAGTGTTTTACCCGAGCTGCTGGGTCATTGTACAAAGCTTAAGAGTTACCGCACCCCTTTTTTCCTCTCCATCTCTGAACTTTTAATTTGTTATTTCAGGACACAGCCTCCCCTCTCCTGCTGCAGGGGCGCAGGGCTGGGTCTGCTTGGAGAACAAATGCCTGTACATATACATATAGGGCTTGGCCTTCTTTCTCTACAGGGGCGGTGGGCTGTTACAGAAAACCTTCCTGAGTTTTATACAGAGGAATATTCCAGAGGAAAGCAGGGAACATGAGCGGTAGTGATCTCAAACACAAGTGTTTGCTTTTTTAACCAATTTATTTTCCCTTTGTGAAGGAAAAAAAAAAAGCAAAATCCACAGTGAGAACTATCAAGATCTAATCCCTGCTGCCAAGCATTTCTCACAAACTCAGGTCCAGTTCCTTTGGGAAGGTTATGCACGATAAAAGTCTAGCATGACAAAATGCTGCTGATTCTGTATTTTTGAAGTGGGTAATACATGGCCTCACCTGGAAGATGAGCTATCTGTCAAAATAGTACCACATCTTCATTTATTTTCAAACCAGTCTCACCAGAAAAAAGCTCTCAACTATGAGTACATAGGAATTCCAGCATCTATAAGCACTTGCATTCTTGAAAAAATGTAGAAAAATAATAAAAAAAATGGTTGGTGAAATACTGCTGTCCATCTCTAGGTTAAAGAGACTTCAAGAAGTTCTAACCACTGCCTGCTTACTAGTTTCCGGCTGCTGCATCACATCAGACCTGTTTTTTTATTTCAAATAAATTTTCAACATTTTGTCAAAGAACTCAAAAGAATTGGCCTCTGAACATGCTTTAAAAGGTTAACCTGTAAGTGTGTCAAATTCCAGCAAACAGGAAAAATAAATACCTTTGTTATGTGTCAGATTGATAGGATTATAGAAATAAGAGTAGAAGAATTAAACACCACACACATATGCTAAACTTGAAAATTAAACCAACTTTTTATTCAAAGCGCCTATTAAAATGACAGCATATTTACTCTTCTGCTAAGCCATGCCAAACTACAACTTAATCTTATGAAGCATAGAACACTTCAAGATATGTAATCACTTTTTACTAAAACAAAAAGCAGTCTTCCACATCTCAATTCTTTTACTTGGTATTTTACACCAAACATGTCACTTAGACAAAACTGCTTGAGCTGTCTGAATTTTGTCTACAGCTAGGTAGCATTCAGTGTACTTGTCATACTAGATGACTATTCTGCAAGTTGTCCAAAGTATTACAGCTGATTGGGAAGATCAATTTATTGAAATATTACTCAGAAGCAATTCTGAGTTATGATTCAGAAGTACAACAGATTAATGCTCAGGGCTTATTTTAGGATCAGACTATTTGTATGTAGCCAGTTGAATGGTCAAAATAAAAGTTCTAAACTGACATCCATCAATTGCCAGGCAGTTTTATGTAGGCTAAGAAGCCCAGAATGATTAAAGTGTTTTGTTTCCTTAAGCCCAAAAGGCTTGAAAGAGAAACAAATAAGCCTGAGGTCAGCTAAATTTAGGAACTGAAAACAAGAATTAAACCGTATCATTGGTGCAGAACTAATTACATTTGATGAAGGTATTTTTAAAAAAATTATCTGATTACTCTCTAGTTAAGTGCATCAATACATGATTTTAAACAAACTGGGTTAATACAATTTTCTACCACAGCAGGTATCAATTATCAGAGAACATAATCCAACAGTTACAGTTTCTGCTGTAAAATTAGACTACATTTCTTAAACAGCTGTATGCATCTAGTCAGTCTAGATCAAGTAATTGAACAATTTTTTCCTCTTGATTAAGCAAGAGGGAAAGTGGCTTCCCTTCTCATCTGAATTTCCTGACCTTCAATGAGAGGGAGGAGTTAAGAGCAAGCAGGTCAGTAAATATGAATTATTAACATCCCTAAAGCAGTAGCTCAAATGAAAAAAAAATTGAAAACAAAATTTGTTAGCATATTTGGAATCTCTGGTTGCCTTCCAAACAAAATACAGAAAAAAAAATCACGTTGAGACAACAGTATTTAAAAGTACATAATATTCATGAGGTGACAAGATATCCTTTAAACATTTTCTATCTGCATCTGAGAGTACTAGGCAGTGTTCTGCAACTTCATTTATTTGGGAAATATATAAAATCACACAGTTAACACATTTGCAACTACCTTTGGAAGCCTATTTTCTAGTTGTATAGTGAATACTTTTCTGCAGTGTTTAATTGATAGCTGTGCTACAGTTAGTGAACACAAAATTGGCACGTCATCCTGAAGCAAAGCAGTAAAGTGGCTTTATGCACAGAAAGTATGGAGGCTTCTATTTGCTAATAATCATATAAAAGCAACTTAGTGTTTGCTAATAAGAGATCTAAAATAGTTTACTACAAATCAATACCACCCTGTAAATACCCCCTTTATTAACAAAAACAAGTGCCAAATCATTACAGGGTCCAAAAATATCTGAAAAAAATATTACCAATTGTTTACCTTTGCCTAGACTTTGCAAGACTAATCATTTTCAGATAAACTCAATGTGCAAAGGTTCCTAACATCATACGTTAGGAATAACAAGTGCTACTCAAACCAAGAGATTCTGCTGAGATCAAATCAAAAAAAAAAAAAAAAAAAAAAAAAAACACATACCTTGAGTAGTCACAGTGAAGATCCTGAACTATCTTACAATTTCCTGCATGAAGCAGTTTCTTCCCCTCTACAAGTTGAGATATCTAAGCTTTGTCTTTCTGCCAAGTGTTACTAGGTAAAAATATACTGACATTAGAAAACATGGTTCCATCGCTGCTTACAGTATTTTCAGTTCTACCACTTAATATAATTTTACTTAAATAGTCAGATAAATACTTTTCCTTTTGTCAGCCTTCTTTGGCTGCACGTACCATTCTGCTAACCACAAACACCGTGTTCAGAAAGTGCTTCCTGTGAAAACTGCTTCAAATAAATGAGTTAACCTTGCAAAAATCTAACTTCCCACAACAGTCCCATATTTACAAAATACTTAAAAACTTTACATCTGTCTTTTACCTTACAAAAAGTGCAATTCTCTCACCCCATGTTATGAGGCAACAACATTCTTCATAAATTCTACAGAATAGCAGCCTATGATAAGCAAATAAGGTGCTTAGCTTATGCCCAGGATCTAACTGGTTTAGTACCACCAGGAGTACATTTTGTATAGGCAGACTCCGTTCCTATGCTACTGTCACAGTGGTGCCACAGCTAGGTTTGCAAGCTCAATGAGAGCCAATGCACCATGCATGCGTTCACGCTGTTCCTGGAGGCGGCGGCGGCGAGCAGCTGAATGAGCGCTGTTTTTGTCTTCATCATCTTCTTCATCAGACTGAAGATATTCCATCGGGTCCTGCTGTTCCTGATCCGTTTTCTGGATTGCTTTACTTTTCAAAGCAGGAGCACGCTGTTCTCTGGTCTCCCAGTATCTACAAATCAAAGGTGGAGAACACTTTTAAATTATGTACAACTCATGCACCAACTATCATTCAAAGCTGGCACAAACCTCCCAAGTACTGTGAGTAGTCACTACATTTGGTTTTATCTTTCAACCCTTATATGGGGGTATTTAAGCTGTCAGAAGCCTCCTTTGCTCAGCATTTTTAGCAGGTTCTCTTCAAGCAAAGAGCAGTTAAGTGAAGAAGGAAAAACAGATGAGAAAAAGCCCCACAAGGAACTTTATCTTAACCAGGAGTCAGCACTTCTAAAAGAAAAGGCAAGGCTAAGCTGAACCATGCTAAGGAATAGCTAGTTTTGGTTTATTAGGGTTTTTTTGCCCCTAAAAATAAGCCACAGAGTGGCTTTCTAAGGCCACTCTGTTAAGACTTTAGAGAGAGATCACACCATAAGGGGAACTTACTTTGCTAGCCACTCAGCCACAGCTTTGTTGTCAGCCGTCTGTTTTTTACTCAGTCTGTCTGTGAGTTCTTCCCTCTTCAGCCGGGCATAGGGATGCTTGGGGCAGTGACGGTTTGCATGCGTGAATCTGCTTAAACAGCCTTAAAAAAAAAAAAAACCCAAAACACACCACACACACACACACAAAATACCAATGGACAACATATTAAGGAAAGCAGTCAAACAACATGCAAGTCTAATATCTGTGGGATGAAGATGCTGCTGAATAACCTTCCGCACTCCACAAAAACCTGGATTCAGTTGAGAACAGCATGCCCAACTTGCATGCCCATACCACGCCCAATCATTTTTTTACATTGGTATCAACTGAGGCAATTACTGACAACCTGCTTATGTAAAGTATGCAATTCTTACATATAAGTTTGTGTGACTATGCATGGCTCCTCCCTTCCTTAGGTGCTCCTCCAAAGTTAAGATCCAAAGCTTTTATGCAGAGTGCTGCCACATGAGCACACATACATACCCAGTACTAGACTGACCCTAACTCTGAATGTGGAAAAGGTTATTCCCCGATGGCTCACCATTCTCAGAGCAGACGAAAGGCTTTTCTCCTGTGTGAAGACGCTGGTGAGTTTTGAGCTGCCCGCTCTGAACAAAGGCTTTCCCGCAATCTGGGTAGTCACACAAATAAGGCCTCTCACCTTACAAATAATAACAGAACAGATTTGTGACAGCTGAATATGAAAGAAGAGTCATAGTATCCCGTGGTGGTCCTTGGCTTGAGACTTACACAAGCAAGCTCTCCTGTTACTCCCCTCGAACGCTTACATCTACTTTAAAAGCCTTAGTATACCAGACAGAGATCCACTTTTACCTCAAATGGATATTTATGTCAAAGTACATATTAAATGGTACTGGATTTTTCCTAGAGAAATAACAAAGTGTTTGCCTTATTATATTTTCCAATTTAAGCAGAACGCCTTGCACACCATTACCTAAGCTTTGTCCCATGAAACTAAGCACACGTAGAGCAAGAAATATATGAAGTGAAATGAGTAAACAGATGAAATCTCTAACTTCAGTACTAGATCTACACTCAAAGTCAGCTTCTGGTGGGTTGAAGTGGAAGATAACCCTAGAAGACATAAAAAGGATGGGCTGAAGGCAATGCAGAAAATGATAGGCCTCACTTTTTCCCCCCCTCTCTGAGAAGAATGGACTTTCCTCCATGTCACTATCAAGATTTTTTTTTTTTTGACTGCAGTAAAAATTTGGGTGAGGCAGAAAGAGCGCTACAACAACTGCAAATGAGATGTGCAATGGTTCTTTGTCAAGAAGCCATCCTTAGTTCTGTTTATTTGGACAGGGGATGCAGTGGCAAGTAATGCTACACACTGTTCTCTACCTTTGAAAACTTTAAGAAAACTTAATAGTGTACAGGTTTCCTGTAAGGCTGCAGAACTACAGTCATGGCAGCATCTCAGCATTTTTGGTATAACGAATTACAGTTTGAGAGAAGAGAAGAATTTGGTAATGCTTTTCCCTCTGAGCATTGCATCCTGCCCTTCAGAGAGTCTAAGCCCTCAATCTTTCATGATAGTAAGATTTTATTTTAAGAAGAACTTTTTTGATGTAAATCTTTCCTAAAGCATTGGGATAGCAACAAATAATAGTTATAAAACTTACGTAGAATGAAACATACACAGTATATCATATATGTAGCATCCTACAGTAGGACAGGTTATAGGTAGAACAAGATTACAACAAGTAATATAACTCAAGTTACAACCAGATACATTTTATCATTAATGTAAGTTGAACTAGGGCAATAACAGAGGTCAATAATACAGGAATGTAAAACATTTCAAAGAGTCCAATAAAATTCTCTAAGAAGATGCTTCACCAAAAAAAAAAAAATCCAACCAAAAAAAAACGCACCAACCAACCAAAAAAAAAAAAAAACGCACCAAGCAGGGGAAACAGAGGTAGGAAGAGAAACTTATTCCAGACTCGAGCCAAGAGAGCTTTCTTGGGCCAACCATCAAGGAGGACTTCCCTATGCAAACTAACAACAGGAATGGGAAGAACAGAGAGAGCAGGTATCTCCTCCCTGTCTCTCAAGAAAGTATTATTGGGTGCATGCTTGCAAAGGTGTCCCATGCTACCACTCTTCAGGAAGGACAACTGAAAGAGGGTGACGCTAACTTACTAAGTTAGCAGAGTAACACCAGGGTGAATTCTGCTCAGTTAAGCAGTCCATGTTTCAACACATAATTCAAGCAAGTGAAATAAAAACATCTTTTGACTAGAAAGCATGAAGAAACTAGCCTTTAATATTAGTATCCACAGTCTTGTCTTATTTCAGTCAGAAAAAAGATCACAGGAAGCAAGCTTTTTGATTTTTTATGTCTATGATAGTTCACACTTTATTGCAAAATACAGTCTTGTTAGAATGTAAAGAAAAAAATATGTATTTGGTATAAAAAAAAATCTCCCTTTCAGTTCAAGCTCAACTGGACATTGAGTAAGTTGATACTGCATTTTAACTGAACTATGATTTGCTTTCTAGAGTTGCTTTATATTTACAGTTTGGTAAATTAAAGCAATCACCTCCAGCCCAGAAAATACATTCTAAATAAGGAAGTGGTAGACAACTGGACAGCGATTTTAAGCATTTGAAGTCTTTTCTCAACATTTAAGCTACACTTTTAAGGTATTACATTATCTTAAGTAGTAACTGGCAAACTTGGACATGTTCTCCTCTTACAGATACTCTTCAATTACTGTGAAAACTACACAAACATGCAGGAAACTGGCTCTCACTCACATGGAGCAGGCAGTCAGAACGAAAAATACTGTTGAGTGCAAAACACAAGCTTAGGAAAAATTTTTCCTCCTTCTAAGTAAATATCTGACAATAGCAGATAAAATATTTACACTTTGCCTTAGCCCAAATTGCTGCTACAGTTACCCAGTTGACAAAAGAAGTTACACAAAGACTTCATTCCCCCCCCCCCCAAATTGCACTAACATGCCTTAGGAGAAGAGTATGATTAATTTAACAATTAAGCTAAAATATTAACTGGTTGAGGGTTCCCCCCCCCCTTCCCATGCTCTTTGTAAGTTTTTTATACCAGCTAGTCACATCTTCCTTTTAGCCTCTTCACTTACCAGTATGAGTTCGTTTGTGTGCCTGCAGCGATTTCTCTCGTGGAAACACCCTGTTGCAGATATTACAACGTATTCTGCTAGAAGAATGCTCTCCTTCATTTATTAGGTCACGAACTGTGTCTGCTCTTGGTCGACCACGTCTTATCCCATCCTATGTTAAAATGATTAAGAAACTGAAGTACCACGCTTTTCCATGAAAGCTATTTAGCAATAAACAAAACAAAGCAAAAAAAAAGCCAACACTTTTACAGGCAGCAACAACTTCCTCTGCAGGAACTTATTTATAAGTTACCCATTCAACAGAAGAATGGCACAAGAATCTTCCCAGTTTATTTTTTAAAGGAAGGTTTTTAGAAACCTGAGCAATTATATATTTCTGAACTAGTCTACCAGACACAGGAAAAAGCAAAATTCAGAGTGGTACAGCATACATGCAGTTCTTGAAAACATACGGCAATACAAATGCTCTTACGTAAGGACAACAAAATTGAAGGACCTGCGAAAATAATACACGGGGGACCGTAAGCTTTTTTCATGGAAGACCTTGTCACAGGAACAACACATTTAGCATTATCCCAAAACACTATTTTGCAGAGCTGTAGCGTCGCTTTGCCCAAAGCGAACAGCAGAGCTGCGCAAACTAAGCCTGAACTTCCCTAACGAGACGGCTTATGACTCAAAGGAGTCGCCAGATGGCAGTATTAGTTTTTTGGGTTTTCTCCCCCCAGCACGTGCCTCGGAAGGCAGGGCCTGCAGCTGTCACGCTCTGCTTGGAGCGACTCCCGGAGTTACTACAGTAGCTTCTAGAAGCAGCAGCAGGGGCCCGAGGGGGGC